ACTCCAACTCCTCCAAATAGTTCGATTTTTCGCTCACGGAAATAAGGGACTAAAAGATCTATTACATTAATTCTTGTTTTAAAAAAAATAAAAATAAAAATAAAATAAAATAATAAATAATACACACACATATATGTGTGTGTGTTAACTAAAATTTGAGGAGAGATCAATATATATTTTTTGAGAAAAGCAAAATAAAGAGTTAAATTAGAGAGTGTTGTTGAAGCGTATAAAAAGTTTTACCCTCTAAATTTAAATATGATATCTATTATGAATAAGATGTTTTTTTATAAATAAAGAGTATCTTGAAGATGCTATAAGACAACCTTAAAAATATGATAATCAATAAGGAAATGACTAAAACCACATTTTCTTAAACCTGAGTTTGTAGTGCATCTGCACCAAATTTATGTCCAGATTATCACTTTATAAGGTGATTTACGTGATTTACTTTTTGCACCTTTTCTACGTACACGACTATCTTATGTGTATGCACTTCCTATAATTCTTGTGGGCCTTTAGAGTTTTGGGTTCAGATTTGACAACTCAATCATAAAGACTAATCGACGTTTAAAAGGTCGTCACACACATATTATATATATGTAGAAATACGGCATTCATTTTGTTTCTTCTCCCATTTTGAATACAAAATTACAATAATTACTTGTATGTAAAAATCTTTGAAAATAACCATTTGGGATCTGATGGAGTTGCAAGTATGAAAGGAAATGGTTTTTGAGGGGTGAATTTTCATAGAAATATAGGGGAAATGACGGGGAAACATCACCAAAGATATTCTTCTTAATTAAAAGATTTGGTCTGTAGGTATAACAGGCAACATGGGAGTCTGAAAAGTCAATTTCTAAACATAATTTCCATGTCCCATTAAATCTCCTTTGAGTACTCAATTTTGTCAAATGTGAAAGGAGATATCCTTTAAAATTTGGGAACATTTGTTACATGGATTTTGGAAGAGATTCGAAATGACAAAGCCTTCATGAATCTTTCGAATTCAAAGTGGTTCGAAGACAAGTAAGCGAATTGCTTTTGAATCTCAAAAACAATGATACCAAAATTTCCTACTTTGTATATACCTTTGATTTTAAGATTGCTTGCACATTGATTTGAGAGCCTCTGTTGTCACGTTTATTGAAACTCAGACGATAAAGCAACTGAAAGTATATTATATAATAATAGGTACTATGCAGTTTTAAAAATCCGTCATCCTTTCTTCAGTAGACATTTTTCTCAAAATCATACCAAGGTTACCAGTTATAAAATCTAAAGAGCCAGAAGATTGGCTTAAACATTACAAAGAACGTAAATCGACTAGTCACTTAACAAAATAGGAAAATCATGATACTTTATTATCATTGAAATTAATTAATTAGTGAATAAAAATAATTCTGATAGTTCAATAAAATAATTGCAATAAATAAAAATTGATTACTGCAACCCAAATGTAGCACCTATGAACTTCTAGTATTTATTATCTATAAGAAGACAATGGATGAATTGATCCTTTATTGTTTATCCCATAATCTTAATCTCTATCCAATATGTCCAATGTTAGAATTTGGGTATGATCTGAATCTTTTATTGAAAATATTTGAATGTTCTAATTAAAGTGCACATTAAGAAGAATCATATTTGAAATGCTATTGTTGAATCCTATTCAAGATTACTTGGCGAATTCTAATTAAATTTCTATTTGAAAGTTCAACTGGGAGTATGAATTTTTGTTAGACTTGAAGAGGATATTAGGATGAAGAAAATCAAATTTTCGAAGTAAAGGACCCAATAATGGGTACCAAGATATTTTTGGCCAGGCGTCACCTGGCTGTTTTTCTCCTTGCGCGATTTTTTTTTCTTCTACTCCATTTCTTGCATTCTACTTCAACTTCAACTCTACTATGAGGATTTGGACATCCTCTATTTGTTCTCTATATATAGTTGCCTCTTCATTATGATTTACTAAGAAGTTAGACAAATCATAAATACAAAATAATTGTATTCTTTCTCCGTAATATATTAAAACCTCCATTCTCTGCAAATTATTTTGTTCATATATTCTTGTGATCAATTATTTTATATTGTAACTATAATCTCTTATTTTCTCCAACAATTTGGTATTGGATTAAATTTGGTATCATCTCATCTTTTCACAACAAAATGGTATCAAAGCTTTTGGTACTATAATTCTTAGGAAGATCGATGTTTTTGTCAAGTTAATATCGCATTGTAATTCTTAGGAAGATCGATGTTTTGATCAAGTTGAAGTTAATATCTCAACTTGATCTTTCATGATGACAACAATGAAGTATGATATTCCACTATTGGATGACAATATAAGATTCTCTTTGTGACATGTCAAATAGATTTAGATAATGCATTGTGGAGATTTGATAAAATACCCACAACTTGGACTCTAGAGGAGAAACAACGGAGAGATCAAAAGGCCCTATCTCAAATACATTTTCATCTTTTAAATAATATTCTTTAAAACATTTTGAAAGAAGAGTCAGCTGCTGCATTATGGTTAAAACTAGATCAATTATGCATGACAAAAAGTCTTACTAGCAAATTGCATTTGAAACAACATCATATTCTCTTTGTATGACAGAAGATACATCTCTTCAGATCACCGTATGATAAGAATGTCTCAGGATTGAGACCAACTAGACAATGTAGGATCAATCATCGTAAAATCGACAACAACCTCCGAGTACGTTTGAACCTAGGTTTATTTTCACCGGTCACCATTGTGGCGCGTTGGGACACACAAGACCTAGTTGTCTTAAACTTGTGACTAGAAGTAAAAGTTAGGATATCTCGAGCAAGGTTAACTTCATCGCTGATCAAGTTAGCCAATTAATTGAGATGATGACTTAGTTAGCTAGAATCACTTATACTCCTAAGAATGTTTGGATTAAGAAAAGTGACCTGAAAAGTCGTGAGGCTGATCATGCTCTTAAAGGTAAGAGCATTCATGTACCTCTTTGATTAGGTACTTAGGTACATGCATGTGCAATTCATTGAATCTATTGATTCTCGCATGCATCTCATTTATTTTTGTTTTGTTTTGGATTTTTTTCTTTTGTTATATATAATTGTTTATTTTGTGCTATGTTTTTTCATGTACCATCTGCACATCACTCACTATGATCTTGTGAGTAAGTTTGGACCGCATGTGTGAGTTTTGTGATAGCTGTCATCTGATGGTAAGGTGATATTGAATATGAATTGACCTTAATTTAGATGACCTAATCTCATATATTATCGTCATATTATTAAAAAATATAGATATTGGTCCATTTTATACTTTTTTCGAAGCCTATTTGACTTAAATAATTAAGTTCGAGGGTTTTCTCATAATCTGGTGCCCTATGGTCAACTGACTTGTAGTCATTGGCCCAACAATGGATAAGAGTTTGCACATAAGATGTAATAATTGAGGAACATGATAGAATAAAAAATTATATATGCTCAAACTCAGGGGGAGAATGCAAAAATGAGCTACTGGGTCTGACTTTCATTAGTAC